CCGCCTCATCGTAGGGCCTGAGCTAGCCAACCCGGGGACCCCTTTCAAACGTAGAGCCTACAGTCTCCGTGGCTTAAAGACTAGGACTCTCCTTCCAACTCTGCCTACTGGGGTGGGGGACCCCGCCGAGATCACAGTGCAGCTGGAGTCGGGGTGACCACCGGAGGTGAGTCTGGGGAGGGACTCCCCTGGACCATAAAGGGGCTGGAGTTTAGGAGTACTGAGCCTGTGCCTTCACTGGACCGGCCGAGCGGGGAGCCGGCATTCTGGTGCGGGGCTGGGCGGGTGGACTTCGGTGCAAGATGGACAGGGGCGCAGGGTCTGGGAGCCCGGAGTGGCGCCCGCGCCCGGAGTCACGCCCCCGGCTTCCCCGCCCCTTGGATCTCGCTTTAGACCTCTCCCAGTCCTCCGGGACTCGGTCTGGTTTATACTGGGTCGCGATAGGGGCAGCGTGACCCGCCGGGGTGGAGAGAGGATGCTTAACTCCTTAGGTCCTAATTCCTCTCTCCCCAGCCCTCTCCCCCTTTCTCCCTGGGCGACAAGGACTTCCGGCCCCCAGGCTTGACTCACTCCTCACTTTCTCCTGTCCCTTCCCCCTTGTGGGTCCCTGGCCGGACTTCGGGTCCCTCCAGCGGCGAGCAGCTGAGGGTTAAGGGGGCGGGGCCGCCGCATTTTTGGGGAGTGAGCGCATCCTAGCGGCTGCCAAGAGGGGCGCTCGGCCGGGACCTGACGAAGCCCCTGAGCTGAGGCAACAGGTGTTTTGGAGATTAGGGATCCCAGTCCGTTCCTTGGGTTCCTCTTAAAGAACTAGAAACGCAGGGCTGCGGGGTGGAGAGGGGTCTGGGGAGGGCGGCCTGGAGGGGGTGGGGCGCTATAGCAGGAGGAAGACCCAGGCGCTCCCAGCCACCCCACGCCCTTCTCTGCTTATCTTTCTTGCTGCCTCTTTCTGTCTCTTCTCCCAGACAGTGAAGTAAAAAGAGAGAAAACCGAGACATCAGCAACCGCAAGGAGCGTCTGTGTGGATGGGATGGGGACGCCGGGGGAAGGGCTGGGCCGCTGCTCCCATGCCCTGATCCGGGGTGTCCCCGAGAGCCTGGGGGCCGGGGAGACCGCGGGAACTGGCCTTCCGGCTCTGGACCTGGCCAAAGCTCAGAGGGAGCACGGGGTGCTGGGGGGAAAACTGAGACAGCGACTGGGACTTCAGCTTCTGGAGCTGCCTCCCGAGGAGCCACTGCCGCTGGGGCCACTGCTCGGTGACACGGCTGTGATCCAAGGGGACACGGCCCTCATCACGCGGCCCTGGAGCCCGGCTCGCAGACCCGAGGTGGGGTGGCGGGAGAAGGGCGCGGCGGGGGGTTGGGTCTGGGGGGGCTGCGCTGGGAGAGGGGGGGTCAGCCTCGCGCCCTGCCTCTGCCTAAGGTTGATGGAGTCGGGGGGTTGGGTCTGGGGGTGCTGCGCTGGGAGAGTGGGTGTCAGCCTCGCGCCCTGCCTCTGCCTAAGGTTGATGGAGTCCGCAAAGTCCTCCAGGACTTGGGGCTCCGGATTGTGGAGATGGGTGATGAGAACGCAACGCTGGATGGCACCGACGTCCTCTTCACGGGTGAGGCTGCGGGTGGCCGGCACCCCCAGGCCTTGTCACAGGAAGTTTGGGAGACTGGGCTGGCTCGGGCCTGTTTCCAGTTCGTTGCCACCCTCAAACCTCCGCGCCCCTGGCCCAGGCCGGGAGTTTTTCGTAGGCCTCTCCAAGTGGACCAACCACCGAGGAGCTGAGATCGTGGCAGACACGTTCCGGGTGAGCATGGCACCAGCCTTGCGGGGTGGCTTAGGGACCCTCTGGGGAGGAGGAGGCTGAGTGCACCTGCGTTGGAGGGCACCCCTCACCCCTCCTGCGCCCCTGAACATCTCCCTTGCTCTCTCTAGGACTTCGCGGTCTCTACTGTGCCAGTGTCAGGCCCCTCCCACCTGCGCGGCCTCTGCGGCATGGGGGGACCCCGCACAGTGGTGGCAGGCAGCAGTGAGGCTGCCCAGAAGGCGGTCAGGGTGAGGAGGGGCGGGGCTGGGAGGGCGTAGTCTAAAGTGGGCGTGGCGCGGGCTGCGGGAAGCTGGGAGGTTTGGAGAATTAGCTTCCACACTTGCCCCCATTGAGCTTTGTATCTAGTATGAAAGAAAACAAAAGGGTTCAACAGTGGGGCAAGGAGGTGGGAGACCCAGGGAGAGAAGGTGCTTGTCTAGTTTCAGGAAACTCTAAAGGTGGGGCTGTAGCTCAGTAGTGCTGTGCCTACCTGGCAAGCATGAGGTCCTGAGTTTGATCCTCGGGTACCAAAAAAAAAAAGGTGACATCAAAGCTATGACATGTGGGGTGTATGGGAGAGACAGGTGGAAGGAGGAGTGGCCTGTAGGTAAAAAGAACTGCATGTGAGTAGGAGGTGAAAATTAGCAGAAGTAACTAATGTGCTTAGAACTAAAGTATCAAAGCACTTAGAGCAGCCCCTGACAAAATAAGCACTATATGCTTGCTGAGTAGCAAGGCCCGAGTAGGGCTCCTAGTTTGTGGTAGAGTGGACAGCCACTTGTGGAGAAGCTGAGACCTGAACACTTCCTCTTTCCTCCCTCCCAGGCAATGGCAGTGCTCACAGATCATCCTTATGCCTCCCTCACCCTCCCAGACGACGCAGCTGCTGACTGTCTCTTTCTTCGCCCTGGGTTGCCTGGTGGACCCTCTTTCCTCCTGCACCGAGGAGGTGGGGACCTGCCCAACAGCCAGGAGGTGAGGGAGAGCGAATCCCGTCATGACTGCCACACCAGAAACTGGCTGTCTCTCCCAGTGGGCGGGAGGAGGGTTCCTCTACTAGTCTGGGTGGGGCTGGCTGAGTGGGTGTGGCTCTGGTGTCGTGGTCTTACTCCCCTCTCCATATCCTCCCTGCAGGCATTGCAGAAGCTTTCTGAGGTCACTCTGGTCCCTGTGTCCTGCTCAGAACTGGAGAAGGCTGGTGCCGGGCTCAGCTCCCTCTGCCTGGTGCTCAGCACACGCCCCCACAGCTAAGGACCTGGCCCTGGGGTCCTGTTTGCCCAGGGGTAGGGCAGCATAGGGAAGAGGAGGGTTAGATGGCGGATGGGGAGTAGTGGGAAATACGGTAAGAAGTTCCCAAGACAGAGGGAGGGCATAGTTCGGGGAGAAGGTTGGGGGCCACTAGGTGAGTTCGCTCACTGAGAACCAATAAAATAGAATTGGCCTTTTAGGTGGCTGATGTCTTACTGGGGCATAGGGATGGGACAGGGCTAAAACCTGTGGTTGGGGACAGTGCTGAGAAGGACGCCTCTTCCGTTAAAAAAAAAAAAAAATCTCATTAGGTCCTTAATGACTCACTCATTCACCACCCAACCCTGTCACAGATATACAGCTGGACAGTCAGAATTTCTATTACAGACAGCATGTCCAGAGCAGAAAGGAGTATGCGGGTGAATCACTCTCTGAATTATCTGAATGCCAGATGACTCAGACACTGGTAGATTATTACTAGTTCACCTAAACATTTTCAAGGACATTAATTTTCATTCACTCATTTACTGAGAGGCTCTGCAGTTGTGTCAGAGAAGGGTCAGTTTCCTGATGTCAGGGAACTCAGTATATGAAAATTAGTTACAAATGGAAGTACAAGTTTGTGATGGAATAAGTCACTGGAGGCTGTTCTCTGAGAAAATACGGAGACTCCTCCCCGAGGTGTCAAAGTATATGCAGGAGTAGGCAAGAAGGGTCAGGAACAACCTTCCACAAAAGGATACATCTGAATTGAATCCTAATGATAAGGAATTATCCTACCAGGTAGTGTGGAGAGAGAAAAACAGTGCTCCAGGGCAAAAGCATATTTGGGAGCTGGGAGAAGTCGCCCACTGCCATGTTGTATGCATGTGGGGTGACAGATAAGCCTGGCCAGCGAAGAGTGCTGCGGCGCCTTGTACCAAGAGCCAGGGGTCCGGAAATAAACACTGCAGTTTGGGAAAAAGGGCTGTCAGGAACAGGTCAGGACTTGGGGAAGATCTACCTGGCTTCAGAGAGGAGACCAAGGGCAAGAGGTCAAGCTGGGAAGTTAAGAAAGTACATTATGATGTCAGTGCTGGACATGGAGACGGTGTAGATTTGACAGTGGCATTAGGTGGAAAGACAAGACTTGACAGTTCATTGTATGGGAGTGAGACAGGAAGGAGGTCTGCATGACTCCCGTGTTCTGGCTTGGGCAACCGGGTTGTTCGGAAGAGGTGCAGAGGAGGATCCCATGAGTGACTCGGGAGATGGCAATGAGCTGAGTTTCACACGTTTGTGCAAAATGCCTGGGGCAGCCGGACAAAGACTAGAGCAGAGGGCGTTCTGGGTGTTATCTACAAAGATGGGGGCTGAGGATGGGCTGTGGGTAGAAGGTTCCCTGAAGTGGGGTGGAGAAAAAGACAGGGACAGACCTAGAATTGTGGGGAAGACTGTGAAGACAGGGAATAAGGAAGGGGAGTTCAGGAAGCAGCAATTTCAGCAGATGAGGTGGGAGGTGTAGACAGGGACAGACCTAGAATTGTGGGGAAGACTGTGAAGACAGGGAATAAGGAAGGGGAGTTCAGGAAGCAGCAATTTCAGCAGATGAGCAGTGGGAGGTGGAAAAAGCAGGTGTGTGTACCTGGGTTTAAAAGCTTGATTCTGGCTGGGCATGGTGGTTCACGCCTGTAATCCCAACACTCAGGAGGCTGAGGCAGGAGGATCGCTGTGAGTTCGAGACCAGCCTGGGCTACATAGTGAGTTCCAGGTCAGTCTCAACTACATAGTGAGACTCTGTCTCAAAAATCCGAAAAAGAAAAGCTTGATTCTGAAGAGACAGGGCAAACACGTGGGAGTTATGGATGTCTCAGATGGGAGACAGGGCTCAATCTGGCTTGGAGAGGACACTGGTGATGAAGGAACCGTGGTAGCTATAGAAGGAAGGGGAGTAACTGAAGGAGCAAGAGCTGTGGCAGAGAGAGCCTGGAACGCAGGTCTCCTGGCCCCTGGACCTCCTCTTCTAGGTGCCAGGCCAGGAAGCAGCTAGTGGAATGGAGAGCACTCCCTTCAAACCACAACCGCATAGACCGTGGAGGCATCAGTAGGGGCCACGGATGACAGCCGGCGGGGCCCCCAGAGGGCCGTGTAGTCCAGATCTGCATACAGCAGGCTCTGCAGGAGGTGAGGGAGGAAGGCAGGACGGTCTCAGTGCTCTGACTCCCTCGGGATCCGGGCCTCTGTCTTCAGGACTTCCGTCCAGCCCATTTCCCAGCCTCCAGACCTTACCGGCTCCTCCTGGTCCAGGTCCCCTGGAATCTCCCGCTGCTCCTGCTCCTGCTGTTCCTCCTCCTCCTCCTCTGCAGGCCTCTGGGACTCCGCTTTCACAAATGGAGCTATGTGGGGGGGACAAAGCTGAAGGGTGGAGAGAAGGTGACCAACTTTGTCCGCTCCCATCCAGGGCTCAAACTCGGGGATGGAGAGGTGGGGAATGTGCAGTGGAAGGAAAAATGGGGTGCAGTTAGTCTTACCAAATGGGGGCAGCGGGGGCAGCGGGGGCGGGAGCGAGCGCCTGTAAGGGAGTACAGGAGTCAGAGCCGCCCGTCTCGTCGCGCTGGTTCTCCTCGCCAAAGAAAATTCGCGGGGCCCTGACCCACACCAACAGCAGAGCTCCTTCCCCGTACTAACCGGCCCACGCTCGCATCCTGCTGCAAACTTCTAGCTCCACGCCTTCTGCAAGGGCTTCGCACAACACCCTGCGACCTCGCTCTCAAGGGCTGACCTCTCGCCTCGTCCAAGACCACGTCTAGATCTCGTATCTCAGAGGAGGTTCGGGTCCGGCCCTTCCCACTTCCGACAGCGCCCCAACAAAGCAGGCCCCGCCCTCTAAGCCGCACCCCCGTGCTCACCTGCGCAACCACCAGGCCACGCCCAGGGCTCCCAGTCCCAGCGCCAGCCCGGCACCCAGCAGAGGGATGAAGACCTGGGGGTACACCGACCCTGGGGAGCGAGGCGGGAGGGCGTCCGGTCAGGGTCCGGCCAGTGAGGTCCCTCGTCCCCCCAGCGCGCATCCGACGGAAGCTCCGAGGCTCCGGCCTCCACCTACCGCGGGCGGG